AAAAAAAAAACAAGGCACAGACGATAGAAAAGAGAGGATGAAAAGAAAAAAAAAAAGTGTGGATTATATATTATTCCGCTGGTTGCACCGCGCACGATTATTTCGTACAATGAACAAGAGAGTCGAACGGAACGGTCGCGGCACAGATAGGCTCAAGTGGCCAAGGGGCACTTGAACTGACGAGATAATGGACTGATTGTCGAGAAAGAGAAAGAATCAAACGATACCGAGCGGTACGCATGTCGGTTGCTGCAACCGTGATCATTCAATCGCGCTTTCTTGTTTCTTTGCTTCCCAATGACGCACTTGTGACGTCAATCGGAGAAGCAAGAAGCAACCCTGGCATACCTTTTATGCATCTTTCCCTACGCATTTCTTCGACCCGGATACACGGCCCTCGTCGCTTCTAATAATGTCTCTAATCTTGCAAGGAAAGGAAAAAAAGTATCGCTTTCGCAAAGGCTGACAATATATAATTTTTCCCTCTCGCTTTCTGGAAAGATTTCGAATTTATTTCAATAATTGTTACATATTCGAGTATCGTTCGAGTGTTTCAGGTTATCTGAAATTATAAACTTTTCACCATGTATAGTTTTTTCTTGCTTAACGAACTGGATGTTCTTTTCAATGCACGAAGTTCAATATTGCTTCACTGAAAAATAGAAACTTGCGTTGTTTCTGATCTTCGTGTGCTGATACTAATAGAAACGAAAGCGCAATGAAAAGAAACCCTTTTGGAAGAAAAGTCCCTATATCGATAAAAGTGAAGGATGTAAATACAAAAAGGTATAACCACTTGGGAAGGGAAATTGATCGATTCCACTCTTTACTAGTTTTTTAATTTTGTTACACGAGCATTGCATTTTTCAAGAAATGAATAATATAATCTACAAAGATCATTCGCTGGTAAAGAAAAGACGTAGATAAATGTACTTGTAACATCATTATTTTTCTGCACTCTCCAATTTTAGCCGTATTTTTCAATAGCCTATACATCGAAACAGAATCATAGTTTCATACCATGGGGGAACAACATTACGTGTAGTGGTATAATTTCAAGATTAGATAAGAGCTTGCAACGACAGTGTTGGTATAACAAAAATTTATGTCGCTTGTAATATATATGTGCACTGCCATAAAAGCAGTTATATTTCTTTATGGACGCCGCCGACGTGCAGAATGAAATAAGACCTGTTAAATACGTGAATAATTCAAATAGCATTCTTCACGTTTGAGATTCTAATTGAATTTTCAGAAGCAACTGTTATCTTCAAGCTCATTTTTCTTTTCTTCTTCTTTTCTCTTTTTTTCTCTCTTTTTTCGTTAACACATCGAAGACAGAAGCAGTTAATTTTACAAAATTCTAGAGTTCAAGCGGAAAGAAACACACGCCGAACGAATCCGTGGAACTTTCTTCTATAAACGTCAAGCTACAAAAATAAAATCTGACGGTTTTAATTCAGCCGAAGAAATCGTACTTTCGACGCTGAATCTTGATGCACCGAAAATGTCCGTTTAATTTATTTCACTTTATTTTAGTCGGCCGTCGTAAAAATTCAATAAGTCCCGAAAAATCTCTCCGTATCCGGTTTTCGAATCACGATCTCTCTGCCATTCGTGTTTCAGCCGGACGTTTTCGCCGAACGACCTGGTCGTTGCGAGTCGATTGCAAATCGGCATCGGGGGCGATTTAACAAGCAGTCCGCCGAAGGGAACGGTGAAGATCATGAGTGTGACTTATGTGTCGAGCATCCGAAACGATTCACCTGCAAATGGAAAGGTCAATGAAAGCAAGGGAGAAGGGAGAGACAGTGACGGCAGTCCCTTCAAAATGAATTGCGGCCGATTGTTCAAACCGGGTCAGTTGATCAAGCTGCGTTTCCCATCTAGCTTTCACGTGGTCCACGGAATCGAACATGGCGACCTCTACTATCGTCGACGCCGTGGCCGCGATTGGTTCAGAGTCAGTGCGCGATGCGTCGCCTGTATTTCAAATCGCGCGTTGAACAGCCGAGCAGCAGCGTCGTTGAGAGGACAATGCGTATCCTCTCGGCAAGGTGGCCGATGTGACCGATGTGATCAACCGCCCTCAATCCCCGAAACGGCACGACCGAGACAGCTGTTGCTAGGGCCAGGTTACACCGAAGGGAGGAACGAGGTATATATTTCTGCATGGCAAAGAGAGCCACGTTTCACACGTTGTACAGAGTGTTCCAGTGATCGCGGCACGCGAGACTTGTGGCTCTACGTGGTTCCACTAATCGAACGAATTCGTAAACTCGCGCTCATTCTTCACTCTCGTTTTTCATCCTCTCCTCTCCTTGTCAATTGTTCCGTCATTTGACTGTGAGACCGAATTACTTCATCCTAATGCAAACTTGGTTTATCTTGTTTCGTTGTTTGCTAAATGTATGTTTGCAATAGATTCTTATAATTTTTACATGTACTTACATATTCATGTATGGATATATTATATACTATAATACATATTATAGCATATACTTTACTTATACATGTATATATAGTTTTAGATTAGTTTTATTATGCTTTATCAGTGATTGTGATTATTCTAAAGCCATTGTACATAGAATATTTCTAAATATCAATTGTACATAGAATATTACATTTTGCTAGGAATATTTCTAAATATCAATTATATATATATGTATGTACTATAATCTTAATCACTAAATAACCTAATAATAAATCTTTATGATCACTTAAAATGATAAACTTGAAATACATTTATTATGAACAATTATTTTAATAAATGTATAACAATGTAATGATAACAATATATAGTACTGAAATTTATATTGTATATTGTACATAGAATATTACATTTTGCTAGGAATATTTCTAAATATCAATTATACATATGTATGTACTATAATCTTCATCACTGAATAATCTCATAAATCTTTATAACCACTTGAAACGATAAACTTGAAATACATTTATTATGAACAATTATTCTAATAAATGTATAACAATGTAACAATAATATATATTACGTAACAATAATATATATATTATATGTATATGTAACAATAATATATATTGAAATTTATATATGTATGTATAAATTATGTATAAATTGATTATTGACATTTATATATACTACACTATGTATATTCATATTATGAATTTCTATTTATAGTACAATGCATAATATATGTGGTGTACATAAATACACATAGATATTATACTTCACAACGTATACGCACATGTACATGTCTGTGTTTATTTTGCCAGGAATGTTTGAAGAACAATAGTTCCATCACCGGCGAGGAATCGGAAGCGAGGAGGCGTCGATCGTGGAATCAACGGAACGCGTGCTCGTGGTCCTCGAACGCGGTACAACCGTCGCGTAAACGACGCGTAGGCATCGTGGAGAATCAGTACGTGGCGGAGAGCGATGCCGGCTCGTCGGTATGCGACTTGGCTCGCGGCTTGGAACGAGTGCTCGGTGAGGACAGCGGCGCCGCGATGAAATCGAAGAAGCAACAGAACGCGATGGCGTGCGATGCCGCCGTCGTCGATCCCATAGAGGAGAACGAAACGTACGACGAGTTCGACACGGTGGGAATGCCGGTGGTGAGGTCGCTGAGCAAGAGTCCACAGAGCGACGAGGGCATCGAGACGGACACGGATCGTAGAAGAGGATCGATGGCCCGATGCTGGAGCCTGGACTCGGCCGCGGCCAGCGACGAGGACACATCTCTCACCATCTCTCACCAACAGAAACGGCACAAACTACGGGTTACTAGGTGCTGTAGCTCGGACAGCGCGGTGCTCAGCGACGAGGATCAAATAAAAGGTGAGGGGGAGTGGAATTGTGACACCAGTTGCTCTCCGCGGCGTCGACAGAGGGGAGGGGAGAATCGGTTGAAAACATGATCCTGGCCACGCGTTGCCTGTGTCAATGACATCATCGTTTCTTTCCTTTCTTTCTTTCTTTCCTTCTTTTTTTTTTCTTCGTCTTACGCGCTGTCTTTTATCGTATTGCCTCTTCTAATGAGCGGCACGATTAAAATTCTTTAGTAGGCGACAGATCTGTGACATTTTACAAAAATGGTATCAAGTACAATATTATAAAAATAGTATCAAATGTAACATATATTTCGTAAAAATCTGAATTCTTCAAAAGATTGTCTTTTACACGTAGACAACAGATCTGCGACATTTTATAAAAATAGCATGGAATATAAAATATTTTATAGAAATTCAAAATCAAGTGTAATGCATATTTTATAGAAATGGTACAAAATCGATTGATCGTTGTAATGGCTATTATAATAATTTAATGTAAGCCATTAACTGTTGCATGAATATTTACAACATTTCATATGCAATCTATTTTTGCTCAATTTCCATTACTGAATGAACTTTCATCAAACCATCAAGGATTAATATCTGGCATTAAGTGATAGTACATTGTTTGATCAGTGAATTAATTAGAAAAAAAATCTTTTACAGGATGGGACAGTACCAGTATGGTGGAGGGAAGCGAGACTGAGCACAACGAGGAAAGACCTAGATACTGGAGAACACCCAGTGTAGTCGTGAGTGATTATTCGGATTACTCTTATCTGGATGAGAAGCTGGAGAGAAACGACCTTGACGTTGAGAAGTACGAGGGGACCAGCGGTACTCCCAGCCAAGCGAGCAGCTGTTCCTGCCTGGATTGCGACGAGATCCGTGAATCTTTGGACACTCAGTTCCTGCAAGTCTGCCGTAGCAGACGGCATTCGGACTCTTGCTGTTTGTCCCTTGATTCTATGAACGCTGTCGCTGTAAGGTATCTAACATCTGAATTTCTTCGTTCCACCGCGACACGATGGATCACTTCATTAACAATGATCATCTTCAGAAACTTCAACGAGGCTGGAAGCAGGAGGAACTCCTGCCTGGACTCCACCGACTCCTACTACTCCAAGCTTGACGCTCAGTTCACGCGGTACCCGCGGTCGGAGAACTCGCCAGACTTGCAAGAGAAAACGAACGTCGGCCTGCTGAACATTCCACCGGCACGAAAGATCTCAGACTGTTCCACCACGTCCAGCCTCAGCGGCGACGAGTCCGACGTCGCTGAGCCGCAAGTGGTTAAGACCTCGAAGGTGAGTGCCAGCACATGAGTAAATTAATAAATTATCTCTCGTACCTTGCAATCAGTAACTTTGTTGACACAAGCGCGTGAGAAACGCACTGATAAACCGCGAGCGACCGTCTTGTTGCCCGTCAGGAGATGGATCGTTCTTTTACACCATGACACTGATTATCTCTAATGAATTTACTACACGCTGATCATTACATTATTGTGCATTGATAGCTGCGTGCGATTTCAAGGCTATTTTAAGAAAGATATAAATCGCAGATGAAGATGGAAAGAAGAAAAAGAAAGAAAGAGAGGTCGATAAATAAAAATTCATGTAAATTCGTAGTTCTGTCTCTGTCATTCTAACGTACTTCCATTCCAGGTGTATAAATATTTCAATGTTAGACCGAAGGAAAAGGCCTGTGTTTAGCGCGGCAGAACATCGTATCGCCAACGTACGTTATTGTGTGAAGCGAGTAATTTATCTTACGCAACCGCACGTCGTGCTGCTTGCGTTCCAGTTTGGAAACAAACGGACTATTCATTCGGGAGGGAGGGAGGGAATGGGAAATTCGCCTTGGTATCTAGGAATTCCGACTGATCGACAGGGATCAGCTTTATCCACTCGTTTACAACATCTTCCTAACAGTATATCATTCTTCCATTTTAGAGTTTCCTAAAAAGGTTTGCTAAAAGAAGGAACTTTCCTAACAGCGACAAAGAATTTCGAGAGAACGTATATCTTTCAAGACTATGGCGAAGCGAGTAGGATCTTCGACGATTGCGAATCGTTGAGGAAGCCTCGCGTAAGAATGTGACATTCGGAGGAACGTGTTCGTGTAGCACTCGGAATCTGTTATGCATGCCTTTCCTTTGTACGTGCATACTTATCTCTTTATCTACCTACTCATTTAACAACGTGTTTACAAATCGCCGTGTGCACGTGTACGCTCGCTTTGTGCATTCTTTGTGTGGGTTCAAGCAATGTTCAACTCTATGCCAAGGCACAGTCGAATGGAATGTGACTGCCGCCAGCCGCTATTATCCTCGTTCTCTCGTTCATCCAATTTCGGTTGTAGAAAATTTCCTTCCCCCATTGATCTGGGCTCTACTTACTTTTCACTGTCATGCGGATAATTTTATTTAAACTCACGTTGGGCTATAAAATTATCTGCACGACGCTCAGTGTAAGTGGAGTTTACAAACATTGGAACTGGCGTTTCAAAAGAAGTATATTATCATAAATTCATTGCTGGGAACTTCGTCCGTTGATCTCAAGATGATTTTCCCCCAAGAACATCCTGACGAAGAACCGGATCTGTTTGTTAAACAAGTTCAAACTTTCTAAACAAATCTTCTATGGTACTTCAAACATGCTTCTTCTAAACTCTTCGTTCAATTATATATCTTCCATCCAGACTCAATCTGTTATCTTCAGTTTTTCCTCACAAGAGGAACAAGAGGAACATGTTGAAGAGGACATTCTTCAGTATGTTTAGAGAACCGGCACGGGGACTTTTACTTTTTAA